TCTCTATTCCAAGCCTCCTATGGCTCAACAGGGCTTTCCAAAGCCTCCAGGATGCACCTCCCACTCCCCATCACCTGGCCAGCCCTGCCTGAACCCTGCACAGGAAGCTTCACCCCAAACCCTCCCTGACCTGTCTTTGCAGCCTTCTTTCAGAGTGTGCCCTGAGCCCTGAAGCCCTCTGATCCATCCTGCCACTACACAAGCCCCCTCCTCCAGGAAGTCCCCTCTGCCCTCTGAGTTTGGGTGGCTCTGGGCAATTTCAGGCACAAGTATGCCATCAGCCTTCCCATGAGCCAAGGCCTGTGTGCTGGGCCTCATGTTCAGTTCTTTCTGGGGCCCCCTCCACCCTCAGTGTAGCACATCACAAGGAAGGAGGGAAGACAGCCAGGGACTATTAACACCTACTGTGAGCCAGGAAACCCCCATGGGGACCTCACATATTGTAGGCCATTTACAGATGGCATGAGTTGGACCAAGGCCACAGAAGCTGTGACTCCCAGAAGAGGATGGAAACTGTGTGGCCAGGCTGAGCAAGATCCTGCCCCCAGAGGTGATCCAGGCACTGGGAGAACAGCCCAGCAGCCCACAGAAGCTTCCTGGATCATCACCTTAGCAATTCTGGAGGACGCACTGAAAATCTTCTCCACCTCCAAGCCCTGGAGGTCCTGCTTGCATCTCGCAAGCTCCAACTCTTTGCACGCATCCCATGAAGAGCAGGTCTGGCTTGCTGTTGGGAGTAGTTTCAGACACAGTCAGCACAGAAGGCCCAGTCACAGGCTATGTCACAGCGGCCACCTGTCCTGGCTCTCAGGGCACCTTGGCTCTGAGGGACTGGACCACAGCATCTAGACACCCTGTCCCACATGCCTTTACTCTCATTGTTCCCCACACCATCTCTGCACAAGCTCAAGCAGTCCCTGCTGTGATGGATGCCCCACCAGCCGCCACACCAGAGGTGACCTCTCCCCTTCTGAAGGTCACCACACTGCATTCTCCCCTCAGCTCATCTCTGGCCAGTTTTGCTGGCTCCTTGGTATCTGTGAGCTGGCCTTGTGCCAGTGGGGCCCTCAGTAACCAACACATGCCCGCAGTGAGTTATGCTGAACTAATGAGCCTCTCCTTCCAGAAGCTTCTGTGGTCTCTCAATGAGCTCTGCACCCTCTGTTGTCTCTCTGGTCAACCTTATTTGTACAGAGAGGTTGTCGTCCCCCCCCCACCCCCCAAGGACAGCCCCACAGCTGACAGCCCTGGTGTCATCCCTCCTCCCAGCCTGGAGAGGCTGGTTGTGAGGTCCCACCCTCCACATACCATGCAGATCCAGCAGGCTGGACAGGACGTCCGCTGAGGCCAGGCGAGTTCTTTTGTTGGAGTCACAGGTGCATGGGGCAATGAGTCCAATCAGTGTGCCAAACTGCCCCAGCTTCAGGGGGATCTGAGGGGCAGAAGGCCTTAAGGCTCACACTCTGTCCGCTCACACACCTGGTGCTGCCCAGGGACAGGGTAATGGGCAGCCAGAGAGGGCGAACCCTGCTCTGAAAACACCGCCCCTGTCTGGGAAGGGTTGGAAGATGCCACTGTCCAACTGCTGCCCACATTCCTGCCTCCTGAGCCCCACAGCTGGGCCCCTGGAGGCCAAGCAGCCAGGATCTGAGGAGTCTGGCTGACCTCAGGCCTAGGCTCTATGTCCAGGCACCTATCTCATTCCTGTAACTGAGCCCTCAGTTCAACTTTGGGCTTCCCCCCTTACTAGCCGTGTGACGGGGCAGGGTACCTACCCTCAGGCCCCTGGATTCTGAAGAGAGGTCTCCTCAAGCTGTGTCAGACGGGTAACCAACGAAAACCCCTCATTGCTTTTCTAGGTGTTTGTGGTACTTGTCAAGCTTTGTATTATTTGCAATGTTTAGTAACTTATTTTCTCATTTTAAGTAAATATGCACTTTTCTAACCAATGTGGTGTTCATAATTGTGTATCCTTTTTCTCAGAGAGGGTTCTCATCATGGTATGAGCTTCAGGACCCACAAAACCTAGATACTTGCAAGCCTCGGCCCATTCTCTCCCTCATTCCCACCCAGAGTGCCAGGTTGGCCCCACCAGGGGTCTCGTTGCCTTTCCCAAGTGAGGCGACCTCTTCCCACAGGACTCTTTGGGGGTGGGGGGCAGAACCAGGCGGGGGGCTGGTGCTCCTGTACTCACGCAGACGCCGATGCTCTGGATGTAGCTCTGCATGAGACAAAGATGCAGGTTCATAGCCTTCTCCCGCTCCCATTCTTTCTCGGACAAGATCCACTTTTCCAGGAGCTATAGATGGAGCCCATAACCAGAAGAGGGCGTTAAAACCCCAGGGCCAGCCCTTTCCTGGCCAACTATTCCCCACCTCATCCCTCCTACTCAGAATCCGATTTCCAATGCTATTAGATAGTTTTAGACACTTCTGGTTTCCTTCCCAGGCCCCACTACTAGGGTGATGAGGTTGTAGGAAGAGAGCGTGCCCTCCAGCATCCTCACCGAGATGGCTCTTGACTAATTAGTGTGTTGGGCCTTGCTCCAAATGTTTGCCCATCAGTGCAAGGGCCAGGAGCACAGCCCACCCTGAATTCCAGGACCTAAGCATTCATGCATCTACTAACAGAGCTTAATAGTTCTGGAAGCAAAAGTGGATAGAAGTGAAAGGAGAAATAAATAAGCCAGAGTGTTAGAGGTTTCAGCACCTCTTTCTCAGTAACTGATAGAACAAGACAGAAAATCAGGAAGGATACAGGAAACTTCAACAACACTGGCAACCAACTTGGCCTAATTCATATTTAGGAATACTCTGACCAACACAGCAGGATAGTGTTCAAGTGCACACAAGGCATTCGCGGAAGGTAGACCAAACCTGGACAACAAAATAAGTTTCAGGCAATGTAAAAGGACTCAAATCATACGAAGTGTGTCCTCAGACTACAATGGAGTTAAAGTAGGAATCAAAAACAGAATGACCTCTGGACAATTCTCAAATATTTGAAAATTTCTAGATAACCCATGGGTCAAAGAAAAGATGAAAAGAGAAATTAAAATGTATATTGAACTGAAATAAAGTTAGAACATGACATATCAATGTTTGTGGGATGCAGCAGCCAAGAACAAAGTCAGTGGGCCCACACAATCAGATTTTAAGACTTATCATAACATTACAGTAATCAAGACAGGATGACACTAATGTAAAGATAGACAAATACATCATTGGAACAGAATAAGTGTTCAGAATTAGAGCCACACATACATGGTCGATTGATTTTTGACAAAGGTGCAAAGGTAGTTCAGTGGAGAAAAGATAGTGTTTTCAACAAACAATGCTAGAACAATTGCTTATCTGTGTGCAAACATACAAAAATTACATAAACTTTGATCCATACATCTCACCATATACAAAAGCTAACACAAAATATACCATAGACTTAATTGTAAAACCTGAAACTATACAGTATTAGAAGAAAATCTTTGTGATCTTGGGTTAGGCAAAGTTTATTAGATATGACACCAAAACCATGATCCATAAAAGAAAAAAAATTATAAATTAGACTTTATCAAAATTTAAAACTTTTGCTCTTCAAAAGACACTGTGAAATTCATGAAAAGACAAATAACAGACTGAGAGAAAATATTTGCAAATTACATAGCTAATAAAGGACTTGCATCTAGAAAACATAAAAACTGAAAACTCAATAACAAGAAAGCAAACAACCTAATTTTTTAAAAAGCTACCTTTACCCTTCAAAAATGACAAGTTATGAAAGGCAAAGACTAAGGAATTCTTCCAGACTGAAGGAGACTAAAGAGACGTGACAATTAAATGCAATGCATGTCCAGATTGGATCCTGGATTGGTAGAAAATAGCTACTATAAAGAGCATTAATGGAACAATTAGTAAAGCCTGCTATAGACCAGTGGTTCTCAACCTTCCTAATGCCGCGACCCTTAAATACAGTTCCTCATGTTGTGGTGACCCCCAACCATAAAATTATTTTCATTGCTACTTCATAACTGTAATTTTGCTACTGTTATGAATCATAATATAAATATCTGATATGCAGGATGTATTTAGGTGACCCCTGTGAAAGGGTTGTTCGACCCCCAAAGGGGTCGCGACCTACAGGTTGAGAACCACCGCTATAGACCATAGATTAGAATATAGCATTGTACCAATGCTAAATTTCCTGGTTTTGATCATTATCCTATATAACAAAAGCCTAATATGCTAAGTGTCCGGTCGTCTGGTGGGCCATTCAACCAATCGAAGTGTAATATGCTAATGATATGCTAAGGCTGCTCAACCGTTCGCTGTGACGTGCACTGACCACCAGGGGGCAGACACTCCGACTGGTAGGTTAGCTTGCTGCTGTGGTCTGGCTGATGGGGACTGAGCAAGATGGGCTGGACATGCCCTGGAGCCCTCCCACAGCCCTTCCCCAGCTGGCCAACCTCCCACATCCCTCCCCAGCCTCAATTATGCACTGGTGGGGTCCCTCGGCCTGGTCTGAGCCCTCTTGCAATCTGGGCTGAGGGGACCCCCCCCCAAGTGCACAAATTTCATGCACTGAGCCTCTAGTTGTTATATAAGAGACTATTCTTGCCCTGGCAGGGTGGCTCAGTTGGTTGGAGCACCATCCTGTACATCAAAAGGGTTCAATTCCCATCCAGGGCACATACCTAGGTTGTGGGTTCAATCTCCAGTTGGGGCATTGATGGGAGGCAATGGATCAATGTCTCTCTCTCTCTCTCTCTCTCTCTCTCTCTCTCTCTCTCTGTCTCTCTCTCTGTTCCTCTTTCCAAGATCAATAAAAAACATCCTCAGGTGAGGCTTAAAAAAATAAGAAATAAAAAAGAGACTATTTTTGTTCTTAATATCTGCAACTGTCTATGATTTAAAAGGTGTGTGTGTTGTGTGTGTAATGAGGAAGAGAAAAATGTGGCAAAATATTAAAAATTGTAAATCTGAGTGAAAGGTATACAAGAGTTCTTTTTACTATATTTGCAACTTTTCAGCAAATTTTAAATTTTATCTAAATAAAGTTACCAAAACAATGTTTAACTCATACCCCTGTTTTCCACAGAGAGTCTGGCCCTCAGGCCAGCTTCCTGGGAGAGGTGGCCATCCCTGGCCCTCTGAGAGACAACTCACATGCACCATCTCCTGCAGGCCCTTGGGGTCCATCTGCCTCTGCAAAAGGCCCTCCATCAGCTGCTGCAGGACACACAGGGCATTCATGTACAGGGTCTATGACAAGAGAGGGAAAAGCCAGGCAGCAATGAGGAGGGTGCACAGTGTAAGATGATCAGATAAACAGCTCTTTTACTTTTGCTCAAATTGAGTGCTTTACACTTGTCTTCTCACATGGTGTAAAAGTCAGCTTCTTAAGAGGAACCCGTTTCACAAAGGAGGAAACTGATCTAGAGTCCAGTTCTCCTGACTCTTCATCCAGGGCCAGGCCCTGGAGGCACAGATGGCTACCTGACCACAAAAGATTTGTCCTTCTTTTCCAACAGTGTTCCTGGAAAATAGCTCTCCAGTCTGGGACTACATTTCCCAGCACCCCTTATATTTAAGTGGAGCCATGTGACTGAGTTCTGACCAATAGAAGGTGAGCAAAGTAGTTCATAAATCCTCCATACTCTTTTTCTTCCTCTCCATGATGGATATCAATACCCATGCAGACCTTTGGAACCAGGCACTGAAGAAGGCAGGGCTCCTGAATAACTGTGTAAAGCAGCTCTATCCCCACCCCCACTGCCAATTTGAACTACGCTCTCATGTTGTTAAACCACAGAGATTTCAGAGTTTATCTGTTACAGCAGTTAGCATCACCTTACACTGACAAACAGAACCTGCTGCACTTTGCTGCCTCTAACCACAGATGGGTGGTTCAGGATGGTGGGCTCTCAGCACTATTCATGTTAAAGTAAACTTCCAGGTCCTGACCCAGAAAATGAGGTGGCTCAGAGGGACCTACCTTAATGGACTCATTGTCCTTTCCTGGGGGTTGGAGAGAAATTACAGAATGTATACTGATATCCATCAGCTCACTGTTTTCCTCTGTGGAGTAGAAAGGCTTCACTTTGCTAAGGAAAGAAAAAGTGACAGAAGGAGTGGTCAGTGGAAGTTGAGATCCCACTGGGAGGGGTAGACATCCCGGGCTCCTGGCCCTCTGCCAGACAACTCATGTGCACCATCTCCTGCAGGGCCTTGGGGTGGAGGCATGTCACAGATCAAGAGAGAGACCAGCTTTCCTGGCTGGGGGTGTGCACCCTCCCCAGGGGTCTGTGCTCTGCTCAGCCATCAGTGTCCAGTGACTATGTCAGGGATTGAGAGGCAGAACCAAGGATCCAAGGCCACCTCTCCTACTTGGTGTCTCTAACCCTGTCCATCTCCTGCTCAGAAACATTCCATTGCTCCTCCAAGAACACAACCATAGACTCTGCCTTCCAAGTTGGTATTAGCCCAGGGTCAAATGTAATACGTGGACCAGCAATAGTAGGTCACCTTAGAGTTTATTAGAAAGTAGAGGCCCAGTGCACAAATTCGTGCATGGGTGGGAGCTGGCCAGCCTGCCCTGATGGGGGCCATCAGGCAGAGCTGGCGGGGGGAGGGGACACGGGAGGTTGGCCAGCCAGGCCCGCTCCCGATTGGGGTGGGGAGGGCGGATCAGGAGCCAGGCCAGCCAGGGGTAGGGGCTGTGGGAAGTTGGGGGAGGCCAATCGGAGCCCCGATCAGGCTGGTTGGCCTCCGCAGTGCACGTCATAGTGACTGGTCATTCTGGTTGTTCCATTGTTCCAGTTGCTTGGCTTTTATATATACAGATGCCAATTCTATGGCCCCACCTCAGAGCTACTGAATCAAATACTCTGGGGATTAGGGCCCAGCCATCTGTGTTTTGATAACCCCTCCAGGTTTGTACATAGCTGCTTCAGATATCTAGCCCATTCTCTTTCTTTGTTTTTAAATGTATCTTTATTGTTCAATATATTACAGTTTTCCCCCAACTCCTGTCATCTTCCACCCCTCTCCTGCCCCCTCCCCAGGCCTTCACCACACTATTGTCTGTCCATGGATTATGCATATACTAGAGGCCTGGTGCACAAATTTGTGCACCAGTGGGGTCCCTCAGCCTGGCCTGTCACCTCCCATCCAAGGAGAAGAGCACAGCCTGAAATATTGTTGAGAATTATGGACAAGATGTGTGGAAGCAGACTCCTATCTTCCAGGATGGCCCATTGCCCGGGAGCTGCCACCCAAGACCCCTGCTACGGAGGCAGACCTGCACCAAGGAGCGCCGAGGGATGGTTTGCATCTGCCCAGGAGAGGTGCCTGGGGCACACGCAGGGGCCCAGCTCACCTCAGGTGCAGGAGGGCATCCATGGCCATGGTGCGCATGGGAGACACCAGATTGTCGGTCGGCTCCGCCTTGATGATCGCCTGCCCGGCAGAGCAGGGCAGTGAGCTGCCAAGCCACCCAGAGGCCCAGGCCAGGAAGGATGGGGCCCTTAAATCTCAGGGGCCCTGATGGTGGCAGTACTCCCAGCACTAATGCCAGGAAAACCTGACATTTTTAGGATCACTTGGCCTTTGCCATTTTCGGGGAAGGGCAAAATCTGGTGAAAGGTGTGGGACTCAAGATGGATGTGTGATTCCCACTCAGGTATGCATTACTCTACTGTATCCTGGGAAAACCACTTCTCCTGCCTGAGACCAAGTTCCCTTACATGTAAAATGAGGACTCGGCAGTCCTGTGACTGGTGTGAAATGACATGCACAGAGCTTCTGGTCCAGGCAAGAGCCAAAGTCACGTTCGCTTCCTTCTCAGGGCCTCCTGTACCACCCACATCTCACTTCCCTCCTGAACTGCCTCAGACTCAGCCGGAGCGGTGTCTGGGGCTAAGGCATTGCAGGGCATGGGGAGGTCTGGGGCCAGGGCAGTGGCTGTCCCACAACCTCCATCAGCACCTGTCACTGCTTCTTGCCTTTGGGTGACATTTTCTAGATCTTATCAAAGTTTTGTGCAAAAATAGTTTGAAGCTCTGCCTGCAGCCGACACCTGCCCAGAGGTCCTTCCTACATACAGAGAAATGCTGGGGCAACATGGGGCTGAGCTGGTGGACCTGTGTGTCCCCACCCTGAACCCACCCCCTCAGGGGCACACAAAGCCGGGCTGTTTCCTGGCTATGAAACCCTTTATCAGATATGAGACTCTCATCTCAGAACTCCTACAGCTGGATCACAGCAGAACTGAGACAGAATGGGCTTCAGAGACCCGGGAGGCCCCTCGTCCCTCAGACGCCCTCAGGAACTTGCAGAGTTAGACCCCACACTGCCCAGGTCCCAGGCCCCAGGCCCCCAGCTTACCACTATAATGGCAGTAAGAGTCATCTTCTGGGCAAATTGAAAGTCCCCCGGGCCCTTGAGGTTTTCGATGGCACTCGAGATCTGCACCACGCTCTTCATGAAGGCCATTTTGAGGCAGATGTCCTGTGCGCAGACCAAGCAGCGGGATGGAAGAAGCGTGTTGTGAGTGAGTCCAAGAATCCCCAGCCACAGTCTTCATGCCTGGACCCTGCAGCCGCCTAAGGATGCTCCTTCCACCACCCGGAGAGACAGCCAGCCTCATGCTGTCCTTCAGCCACTGACAGAGCACCTGCCACGCGGTGGGGCTGTGGGCCAGACCCCCCCCCCCACACCTGCACCTGAGGGCAGCGGTGCCGGTCACTGAGCACCCTCACTGGCCAGGGGCACCAAGCCCTGTGTGTCATGGGAGATAAAAGTTATTGAGATAAAACCTCTCTGCTTTTACAACATGGATGAATCTTGAGGGCATTTTAATACTGGATGATTCTGCCCACACGAGGTACCTGGAGCAGTCAGACTCAGAGACAGGAAGTGGAACGGGGCTGCCAGGGGCTGGAGGGGTGGCTGGGCAGTCATTTGATGGGTGCAGAGTTTCAGTTTTGAAGGACAAAGGGTGCTGGAGATGGATGGTGGTGATGGCTGCACAACTACGTGAATGTACGTAATGCCACTTAACAGGGTCATGATGGCAATATTTAGGTTATGGGTATTTTACTACAATTTAAAAAATAATAACAAAATAATATGTGCTTCATTCTCTGTGTTTTCCCTTCCTTGTTATTCAAAGAAAGTAGCTAGTCCCTTTGCATTTCTGAAGACAACCCCACATCTTGTCCCTTATGGAAGGCCAAGAGGCAGCTGTCTGGGGTGGAGGGCAGAGGCTAGGGTAGAGGGAGGGAGGGAGACTGGAAAGGGGGGCTCATCTTGTGACTTCTGAGGACCCATGCTCACCCCTCCCAGCACTTGAGGGAGGGGCTACACACCACATCCTCCTGCAGCAAAAAAATAGCACAGACTGGGGCAATGGGCCTCCCAAATGCTGGGAGTCACGTAGGACTCCTGGATGTCTCCATGTGGGCCATGGGCTGCCTGGACCCAGCTCCCGGCTTCACCACCACCCAGAGAGGAATGCAGGGTGACATTCTGCCCGCCTGGCTAAAGGAGGGCATCTCCTGGGCACTGACGGTGGGTCTGTGTCCTCCTGGGTTACCTGGGAGCTGCTGGTGTAGTGGTGAATGATCTTGGCGGTGATGGGGGTGTCCACATGAGTGAGGAGCATCTGCCAGTGGCAGTGCAAGGCCACACAGCTGTACATCACCATGAGAGCGCTCTTCACTGTCTCCCGCCTCCAGGGGTGGTCCTTCTGCAAGGCCAACGACAAGGAAAAGACCTGCTGGGTGGGGGTAATGTGCTCAACTTGCCCTGCTAGGAGCGAGCAGGGTCAGCCCCCGCTGCTCTCGGATCGTCTCTGGTTACAAGACCAAAAGAGCCATTGAGTTAGCCAACTGTGCCTAAAACAGTCGTTCATTCAATACTTTTTTATTGAGCACCTACAACATGCTGAGCCCTGGGTGTAGCGTGGTGAGTAAGTCAGAGCAAGGTCAGACTGCCCATTAGCTATGAGTAGTTGGCTGTGTGGAGACTCCTAAGCAGAGTCAGGCTGTGCATGCCCTCATACCCCCACCTGCCAGGCACCTGCCCTGGGCCAGGGGCTCTCATGACGCTGGGGATCCAGCAGGAACAGACACCTCAGCCCTGCTCTCCTGAGAGGAGGTGTCAGAGGCCACCAAACCCTCCGTGGACGTGAGGCTGGGGGCCGCTGGACCCTGCCAGGCTGCAAATAAAAATCCAGGTCTCAGGTCCTGCTCTGTGGAGCAGGTTGAGAGACACTCTCCATCCAAACAGCTAGACCCCAGGGCAAGGGTGGAGGTCAAGGCCAAAGCTTGAGGCATCAGTGACTCCAGATGACTGCCCACTGGGCCTCCGCCGACCTGTGGCACCCAGCCCTGCAGCAGGAAGCTGGACCAGAGGCTGGCCATGGCTGCTTGGGTCCAATGCCTGGCTTTACCACTGGCTAATGCACGCCTTTGGACAAGCTTCACTGCTCTCGTCTATACCACCTCCATCCAAGCCCCATTGGTTCACTGAGGCAGAGCTCCCAACACGTGGAAAGCACCTACACTTCTTCAGACCCAGTGGGGCTGGACGAGGCTTGGGACCCTGCACTGCTAGCCTGCACCCAGGTACCCTCATCATGAATAGCTAAAGGCTCAGACTCCTGTGAAATATCTGGGTTCTGGAAAGGCCCACCTTGTGTTCTTTAAATTGTCCAACAGCAAAAGCTCTGTTGGAGGTGGCCTCCAGATCACAGTCATTTTGAGGATAGGAGACATGGAGGGGGGGTTCTTTATTTTTTTAATGTTTTTATTGATTTTTTTTTGAGAGAGAGAGAGGAAAGGAGAGGGATAGAAAGAAATATCCATACGAGAGAAACATAGATCGGTTGTCTCCTGCATGTGCCCTGACGGGGAATCGAACCCGTGACCTCTTGGTTCATGGATCAATGCTCAACCACTGAGCCACACTGGCCAGGCAAGAAGAGAGGGGTTTTTTTTGTTGTTGTTGTTGTTTTTGTTTTTTGTTTTTTAATTTTTTTATTGCTTAAAGTATTACAAAGGGTATTACATATGTGTCCTTTTTTTCCCCGCCCTTGACAATCCCCTGGCCTCCCCTACCCCCCAGAGGCTTACGCCCCTTGATTGTGCTCATAGGCATGCGTACAAGTCCTTCGGATGCTCTCCCCTCTGTCTCGCTTTTAGTCTGCCTGTGGCCTTCCCGATGCTACTTTGACAATATGTTTGAGGCAGCTCTGCCTCTGTATCTATTATTGTTCAAAAGTTTATAATGGTCAGAAGAGAGGTTCTTATTGTGATTGGGTAAACACCTTGGTATGAATGCTAAGAGCACTGTTGCTCTAAGAGGCCCCTAGAAACCTGGTTGTAGAGAGAAGGAGCCTTACCCGCCAAGCACCGATCTGCCAGGACTCCTCTGATTCCTGAATCCTCTCCTCAAAGTCCTGAAGCACACTCAGCACAGTCTTCACCTGGCCCTGGGCGCACAGGCCAAAGCACAGAATCACACCCTGTGGGGAGACCCAGTCAGCTGGGGTGAGGGGGCGGGCAGGGGGCAGAGGAGGAGCCATCATACACACATACACATATGCACATACATGGGTGCACACACGTGTGTATGTATACACATGAACAAGTACACACATGCACACATGGGTACACGTATATATACAAAGGAACACACATGCACACGCACGCACGCACAGGTACACACAGAGACATGAATGCATACACGTGTGCATACATGTGCACATGCATGCACACACATGCGTGCGTGCATGCATATGCCATATCCCCTGAGGGTCCAGAGAGCTCTGACAGATAGGAGGGGGCTGCAGGGTGCCTTCACCTCTCGGTCAAAGTCCTTGCTGTAGTCGGTCTTGTACAGCAGCTCCAGCAGCAACACCTCCACCTTGTCGGCCTCCAGGCCTGTGGCCAAGGTGAAGCCCAACGCCCGGTACAGGAAGCTCTAGAATGTCAGAGGACAGATGGAACTTCAGTGTACAGTCTTTAAAATAAATGTTCAGGGGCAGTTGGACTGTATGTACAGGGACAAGCATATTACAAATAGTGGGGCCCAAATTTCTCTCCTATACAAATTGAAACAATTTACACTCCCACCAACTAATCCAAGAGGACCCATTTTCCCACATTCTCCCCCTCAATCGGACATTACCAGTGAGAGGTGGGACATTCCCATTTTCATTTATTTCTTTATTAGTCTTGTAGATCACCTTTGCATAGTTTCAAGATCCATTCTTGGAATTTCTGTCTATATTCTTTCCCCATCTCCTGTTCAGTTATTCTCCTATTTTGTTTTCATTGATGTATATATTTGAAGTCCACATTTAATCCACACAACTGTAGAAGGTAACTATGATTATAGTATTGAGAGATGAGAAAGCAAGCAAGAAGTGGTAGAACCAGGAAGCGTAGTCTAAGGCTCACTTCTTAACAAACGAGTATCAGAAGAATCAACTGGCAGGTCACTTTCGGTGGTCTCTTTCCCCCATGTCTCATTTCCCTTTTGATTTTATTTATGATAATTTTGTTTTGTCACACAGAAAATTTTCATTTTCATAGAGGAAAGTGTCTTTCTTTTCCTTTGTCTTTTCTGGTTTCTTTTCATGCATATGAAGGTCTATTCCATGTTAAGATCATACAAATACTCACCCCATGAATTCTTCTGGTTGGCCCACGGTTTTATTTTATTTAGTACACTTCAGTCTTTGCTCTGGGACAGTGAATCCTTCCTTATCCTGCTTCATTTTCAATATGTTTTTAGCTATTCTCTTACTTTTTTTCCCACTCAGATGAACTTTAAAAGAATCTTGTAACATTTCATAAAATTGTCAAATTTCCATAAAAACTCCTTCTGGGAATTTGGGAGAAATTATGTTGCAGATTAATTTGAGAACAATGGACACCTTTACAACATTGAGACCCTATTTACGAACAAGAGGTGGCATCTATTTGATTGGGGCTTCTTTTAGCTCCCCTGCCTCCCCTTGCAATTTTGTGTTCTTCGCATACTTAATATTTCATGATTGAAGATATGTTGATTATATATTTTACATTGCACTGGTCCTTTGACTATGTTTTCATTATATTGCATTGTATTTTTTTGTATATAGGAAGATAATGATTTCTGATGTTAATTTTGGCCTTATCTTCTTTACTGCTAAGCTAGAACCTGGAGACTCCTTTAGCCTTCTGTGGCTCTATGTCATCCTCACCCTTTCCCTGTCTACCAAAATCTGTTCAGACATCTCAGTCGTGCCTGTTGGACTCTGATATCAGACAACTTCAGGTGGAGAGTGAGGTGAGAAGGATGGGGAAGCTGGTGACTGGAGGAGAGGTTGCCCAGCTTCAACAAGCAGGTTCTTAAAAACACACACACATACACAATACAAAACCCCACTGGTCTAGACCCCACTTCTCTCTTCCCAGGACCCTGTAGACAGCCGTGGGTACAGCTGCTCTCACACAGCTGATGTGGGGACCAACCTTCTCCAGGGAGGGGCTGTCAAAGCTCTCGATCTGGTTATTCAGCTCTTTGGCCAGACGCAGGCTCCAGTTGGAACCCCGAGTCTTCTTGAGGGAGAGTCTCAGAAACTGGGGAGGCAGATGACATTGGTGTGCAGTGCTCCAGTAAGGCTGTGTGGTACTGAGTAGTGACCCACCTTCTCTAACACCCTCCCCAATCTGTGAATCACTGGACCCATAAAGTCCTGATCCAGTGCTAACATTCTGGGGGCCTGGGGGTCTGGGGAACAGCTGTGGCTTTTGAGATGGTGGGAAGGATGTCAGCCATATGCCGATTTCCTGAGTACTTGGTGTCACAGAATGGAAGGCCCTCTGTTCTCCCCGCTGCTAGACACAGCTGTGGAAAGCTTCATACCCCCCGAATCTTCTAACAGGAGAGTGTGTCCTTTAGGGACTCCTAAAATCTCCACATGCCAACCCCACCAAGTGCCCTCCCATCCATCCTCCCCAGCCTCCGCAGGCGGGGTCACCTCTTTACCTGAATCAGCTTGTCCGCCCAAGTCTCCTGATTCCATGTAAACTTAGTATGTTCTGCAGAAAGAAGGATCACACATGTTACTCTCTGCTGCTCCCCTCTGAGGCACCTCCTTAGCCTGGCCTGTGAAGCCCCCCATGGGGCATGCTCACCACACGCTATATTTCCCTCCCCACCTTCCCAAGGACCAAAATAGGCTGTGCTGGTCTACCATAGCCTCGCCTCCTGGTGTGCAAGCCACATAATTAGTACCCCAGTCTGCACGCTGAGAGGGCACTTCACCTTCCAGGTACTTGATCAGCAGTGGGATCTCCAACTCCCACATGTCGGCCATGGAGGGTGCAATGCTGTGGCTCAGGGTCCTCAGAAGGTTGAGCATGGCTATCCCCCTCCCTTCCCCTTCGTAGGGGGATGACATCAGCACCTGCAGGGAACCCAGACTCCAGTGGGGCTCTGCCCATGGTCTGGGCAGCCCTGGGCTCCTCGCCCCCACAGAGAACACTGGGGACAGACCGTGAGCTCCTTCCCTGCCCCATGGGTCATGGATTAGCATCCGGGGTCCACACAAAGGTGCAAGATGGAGCCCGCCTCCCGGGGGCAGGCAAGCCACTGTCCTGGGGGTGCTTTGAGATGCTCAAAGGCCAAGCAGAGGAATCTGAGAGCAGGTCCGAGTCCACTGTACCTGGCACACCTATACCAGAGGGACAGCAGGGACCAGGAAAGCTCTGTTGTCCAAACGTCCAGCTCCCTCCCAACTCTGGGGGCTCTGGGAATTAGGAGCTCGAGGGAGAGGCACCAGAGGACACGGTCTCAGCCAGGCCAGGGCACAACCTGGGCGAGCCACTCACCAGGAGACGGGCCAGCAGCTTCTGCGGTGCAGGCAGGTCCACTGAGGAAGAAGGAGATTTGACCCCTGCTGGAGTGCTTGGCCCAAACCAGGAGATGCCCCACCCCCATGTCCCCAAGGTGGGGCTCTACCCTGGAAGGTGCTTTCCTAACAGGACCCCATTGTCCACAGAGATAATATATGGGCACAGGGGATTTTCCATAAAGAGCATCACTTTATTTGGCTTATCCTGGGAAGAGTGGAGAATCATGCTATGGGCTGGGGCTTAGAAGATGCTATTTTCAGGATAAGCCCACTTTGTAGTGGACACTAGGGTCTCCCATGAGAATGTGCGTCTCTTACTGTGAACCTTGGCATCTATTGAGCCAACAGTAATCAGACACCTACCCCCCACCTCCCCGCAACTGTACAGGTGCTGAGAGTCAATGAGTCTGTAAGAAACAAACACAGCTCTTGGACCAGTGGGCAAGGGAGGACCAGGCTTCCCGAGAAGTTGCAAGTGACAGAGCTGAGTTGGGAGTGGGGGCATGAGGAAGACCTCAGGGGGTGGCCTCATTGGTTGCTCCAAGCAGGCTCCACCGTTTGCTGTCCTTGGGTCCTAAAGGGCACCTCAAATCACCTCCACTGTCAGCCATGCCCATCAGCAAACCCCTGGGCCCTGAGAGCAGCCCCCTGGGAACAGCAGTGTCATCCTGCACATAGCTGGGCCTAGTCACTTTTTTGACTCTGATGTTCACAGTGCTCAGTCGCGGGGACCACAGTGGAGTGGTTTACGGAGGACTCACGATGGGACATCTATAGTTCCTCCACCTGGCTCACAGCAGCCCAGAGAGGTCACACGAAGGGAGAGGCTGAGCCAGGACCTCGAAAGGGTGGGGTCTGGGCTGGGTCATGGGGACATGAAGAATGAGCCACCAGAGGAATTTTGTGCAGTGTTACTACCTCCTCGGATGAGGCAAGGGCGTGCCTTTGGCCTGACTGTTGGGGCTCGGGATGCTTCCTGGAGGAGGGGAAGTGTTCAGAGACATGGAGGGTCTCACTTAAGGGACCTGCCCAATCCCACCAGCTGGCTCAGGGATCTGCCCACCATGCCTGCTCTTGCTGGCCATGCTGGTCTCCCCATCCACGATGTGGAACTGGCGTTCAGCCAGGTTTGTGAGGCTGATGCAGATGGGGGTCAAGACCTCCATGTTATTGGTCTCCATGATGTAGCACAAGAGCCTCACCCAAAACTCCTGGTGGAGAGAGGGGGCCAGGATTAGCTGGGACGTCCCATGGCCACACGAGGGGATGGGTCAGGCTCCCCCACAGTGTAGGCCTCACCTCAGTTTCCCAAAACTGTACTCCCACCCACTGACAGCCTCAACCCTGGCTGGCTCCGCTGCCAACCCCAGTCTTTTGTCAGGTCCATCAAGTGACACCCCCCTGATATGGCGGAGGAAGCCAGCTAGTCCTGGGGGCCCAACTCCCACCCCGGCTGACCTCCCGCCAACCCCACACCATCACATCCTCTTCAACCAGCTCCCTCCCTCTGACCCCAAATCCTACAGAGGTGCACACTGGGCAGATGACTCAGCCAAGCTTGCCCACTGTGATGGTCAGGTTTATGTGTCAACATGGCTAGGTGAGAGTACCCAGTTATTCAACCAAACACTCCTCTAGGTGTGGCTGTGAAGGGTTTTGTAATCCTTAAAGGAGATTATCCGAGATAGGGTGGGTGGACTTCATCCCATCAGCTAAAGAGCCTTAAGAGCAAAAAAACTAAGTTTCTCTGAGGAAGAGGATATTCTGCCTCATGACAGCAGCAGCAGCAGCTCCTACCTGAGTTTCCAGCCTGCAGGCCTGTCCTGCAAACTTCAGGCTTGCCAGCCCCCACATTTGCACAAACCAATGCCTTGAAATAAATTGTGTGTATGTATGTGTGTTTCTCCTATGGCCCTGTTTCTCGGGAGAACGCTGACTAATATAGATTCTTGGAGCCCCCCAACTTCACCCTACCATCTCCCCCTTCCTTGGATGCTTATTGAACACCCCCAGCTAATCCTGGTCCCCTAAGCCTCACTATGCGTCTCTGGGAGTTTGGACTAAGGCTCCTCTGCTACTAATTAACAAGTGAAGTCACTCAGCTATTCTGGCTGCCAGGACTAGAATCCTCAGCTCCTGGGTTCCCCCAAGGAGGAGGCCTCACGGTGAACTGGAAACAGCATTTTAATCCTGGATGCACTCAAGGATTAAACAGTAATAAGACACCTACCCCCCTTCCTCCCCGCAACTGTACAGGTGCTAGGAGTCAATGAGTCTGTAAGAAACAAACACAGCGCTTGGACCAGTGGGCAAGGGAGGACCAGGCTTCCCGAGAAGTTGCAAGTGACAGAGCTGAGTTGGGAGTGGGGGCATGAGGAAGACCTCAGGGGGTGGCCTCACTGGTTGCTCAAAGCAGGCTCCACCGTTTGCTGTCCCTGGGTCCTGCTTCGAAGCCTGGAGCACATGTATGTCTCTCTGATCCTCAGTTTCCTCCTCTACAAAAGCAGGGTAATAATAAGAGAGCCTAACTCACAGGGCTGTTGGGATCATTCAATGAGTGTCCACGTGCTGCACACCTGGCACAGTACCTGCTCTATACAGGCTCGGTGAATTGTAGAGATCATTTTTCTTCTAATTATTTCTGTTATTAAGATAAACTGCCATTGGACAGGGGTATCGAGCCCAGGGCCTTACTTAATGGACAATGATACCCTCCTTGAGCTGCATGGTAGCTGTTTCCTATCTTATTGCTATGTCACAGTGTAATGCAATTGAAAGTTGTCACGTTTATTTCTCCGTAAGCCTGTGAATTGATTGGGGTCATACTGTGTCATTTTGGTGTATGTCCTCATGTCTTTACTGTATGTTTATGGAATTAAACCACTAAAATACTTTGTTTTCACACACACACACACACACACACACACACACACACACAACTTATCAGGACTGAAGGGGATTTAAGTCAACAAATACATTTCGGGCAATAAGTCAACTGATACATAGTAAGGCTTACTGTGTGCCAGCCATTGCCCAAGCATCTGGGGGCTCTAAGTTCCCATCAAGCATCCGGCTCTGGAACTGGATCTTGAAGGACTACAGCTCAGGCAATTGGAAGATCAAGGCCCCCACGCATCACAGGCAGTGGGAATGGGAGAAGCCACAGCACAGTCCTGGACACGCACCGTTGCCCCAAGCCTGAGCCATGCAGACGTGAGCAATTAGCTTCAGTGTGCCAGCCCAGTGGGCAGGTGGGCGGGGCTCACTCACATTGGTCATCCCACTGACAGCAGAGGTTATGATCTTCACGGTGTCCATGGTGACTTTGTGCACCATCTTTTCCTCCAGGTCCCTCTGATGAAAGCTCTCCCGGCGATTCGTCTGGAATGCAGAACCGAGGGGTCCCTGCTTGAGGGCTGGCAAGGGGCTTGCTGTGGTCTTGGGTGTGATCTCCTCACCCCCATGGGGTTGAAGCCCGGACACTGAGTCTCCAGGATGCTCAGAGCCGGGAATGTCTCTCTGTGTTTTCTAGACTCCTGCCTGTGTGTCTGCACCCACCTTTACCTACAGTTCACTGTGTCTGCATACTTGTGTCAAGGACGTATATGCATATAGTTCAAGCTCAGGGACATTCTTTCTCTGACACTTTGGAAACCATTTCCAAAGTCCACCTGCTCCATGGTCTGCATGCCAGGACCACTCACCAATTTGTAGGTGGACAGGGTCAGCTGAATGGACACGTACTTTAGGCCCCAGCCTTTGATCCTGTCCTGGAAGCCAGACAGAGCCAGCTGGCCGATGATGCGGAGAATTGCCATTCTCACCTGAGAGGACAGGGCGACAGACACGCTGGGGGTCGGGATGGGCTCCAGGGTGGGAGGCTGGGCATCCAACACCCAATCCCATGACATGAGATAATAGAATTGGGGTGCTCTGGGCTAGAAGGGGTCTCAGGAGCCACCTGACCACTACCCACTCTGTTCACTACCCCTGCCTCATCCAGAGGATCCCACTCTGCAGCATGTCCACCCCAGAATCTCACCTGGACCTTTCTGAGACATAGAGTGCACTGCCTTTTACGTAGACAGCTCCATCCTCAGGGGACAACCTGAGGCGCCCTGGGGCTCATGTGTGGGCCAGCACAGAACAAGCTTGTTCTCTCTTCCCCAGACAGCCTCCAGCTATTGAAGACAGCTTTGCCTGAACCTCCAGTCCAAATCCCCCATTCCCTCCTCGATTCTGCTGACCCTCCCATCGTGGACCTCTCCTCCCTGGGGTCCGAGGCCAGAACCAAAGCTACACTCCGAGGCGGCCATGGCTGCAGTGGCTCCCTTACTTGGAGGATGGAGGGTGCATCCCTCATTTGCTTTTTTCACGTGCAGTAGTGACCTTACAACACCCCTAGGCAGGCTAGCAGCTCTGGCCCAAGCTGAGTCCCCTTGGCCTGCCCTCTGTCCAAGTGTGTCTGAGACCCCAGTAGGCAGCAGTGAGAGGGAGATGAGAGCGAGCCACAGCTTTGACGGGCCTCACTCACCTCCAGCCCTACTCAGGGCTGGCTGGGAGCTAGGTTTCCTACTGAAGGGCGTTACTTCGGGAGGCCGGCCTCCACCCACAGAGCTGGAGAGGAGCCAAGGCGCTGCTGATGGAAGAAGGCCCCTGCCGACTTCCCTTTGCTTCCCAGCAGGGACTTCTGAGCGCCAACCCGTCCAGGTCTCTGCCCTGTTACCTTGGAGCGGGTGTCAGAGATGGTGTTCTTGACCACCCGGATGGCCAGGCAGATGGTCTTGATATTCATTCTGGGATCTGAAAGAGGAAAACCAGCCTGGGGGGCCGATGGCCTCAGGGCTGGGCTCTGAGATGCCCAGAGCAGCAGGAGCTCACCTTCCCTGGACAGGCACCAGGTGGCTTGTCCACGTCACAGCCTCCAACTCACCACCACATGCTGAAGGGCACTGCCCTCAGAGCCTCCCAATGCCCGGCCCACCCCACACTGGCCCACCCTAGGGCGATGTGTTTATGTCTCACTCCCTCAGTCTCTACTTTCTCTCTCTCTCTCTCTCTCTCTCTCTCTCTCTCTCTCTCTCTTTTAAATTGATGTTTAGAGAGAGAGGAAGGGAGAGAAGGGATAGAGAGATAGAAACATCAATGAGAAGGAAACATGGGTCGGCTGCCTCCTGTATGCTCCGCACTGGGTATCAAGCCCACAACCCAGGCATGTGCCCTAACTGGGAATCAAACTAGTGACCTCTTAGGGCCTGGATCAATGCTCAACCACTGAGCCACACCAGCGAGGCCCAGGTTTAGTTGTATGTCTCTTTTGAACCCAGTCAGACTCTCCTTGAAAGCAGGGTCTCAGCCCTAACTGGTTTGGCTCAGTGGATGGAGCGTCGGCCTGCGGACTCAGGGGTCCCAGGTTCGATTCTGGTCAAGGGCAGGTACCTTGGTTGCGGGCACATCCCCAGTAAGGAGTGTGCAGGAGGCAGCTGATCGATGTTTCTAACTCTCTATCCCTCTCCCTTCCTCTCTGTAAAAAATCAATAAAATATATTTTTTAAAAAGAAAGAAAGAAAGCAGGGTCTCCACCTCAGAGCTTCTTGGTCCCCTCAGCTGGGCACACAGTGCTGGGCACACAGTGGGTATGAATAGGCTGCAAAGCATAGCTGAGGAGAGCCTGGGCTCCAGGGCCAGGCTGCCCAGGTTCAAAACCTGTCCCCAGTACACCCCAGCTGTGTGACCTCAGGTGAATCACTCAGTTTCCCTCGGTGCCTCAGTTTCCTTACCTATAAAATGTTGATAAGTATAGTACCTCCCTCACAGAGGTCCTGTGAGCAGTAACGAGTTAGCATGGGGCCTGGCACACAGCACATGCTGCTGTGTGTTTTAAAACTAATGACAGCACATCCTGTTAAAGGAGGAGAAAGATTAAGGGAGGTGAGAAAGCACCTCCATGGGAAGGTTCTGGAGAGATAATGTATGGACAGAATTAGGGTTGGGTGCTTCTGCTGATGTTCAAGTCTAGGTGTTACTGGAATTCCATGCTGGTGGAGGAAAAGCAGGAAATGAGGACAGGCAATCAGGCACTGAGGAGGAATGTTACATTTTTTTTCTGATTGTAAAAATAGTGTATGTTGTCCTGGCCAGGTGGCTCAGTTGATTGGAGCATCATCCCATACACCATAAGATTGCAGTTTTAATTCCCAGTGGGGGCATGTATGTGAGGCAACCAATTGATGTTTCTCTCTCTCTCTCTCTCTCTCTCTCTCTCTCTCTCTCTCTCTCTCTCATTAGTAAAAACATATCCTTAGGTGAAGATTAAAAAAATAATAGTGCACACCCAGCCGGTGTGGCTCAGTGGTTGAACATCAACCCATGAACCGGGAAGTCACGGTTCGATTCCCTATCAGGATGCATGTCCGAGTTGTGGACTTGGTCCCCAGTGGGATGCATGCTGGAGGCAGCCAATCAATGATTCTCTCTCATCATTGATGTTTCTACCTTTCTCTCCCTCTCCCTTCCTCTCTCTTAAACCAATAAAACCATTTTTTAATAAAATAAATTTTTTAAAAATAGTGCTGCCCTGGCCAGTGTGGCTCAGTTGGTTGGATGTCGTCCTGTGCATCAAAAGGTTGCTGGTTCAATTCCTGGTCAGGGCACATGCCTGGGTTGTGGGGCTGGATCCCCCATGGGGGTGTGCAGGAGGGAGCCAATCGATGTTCTGTTCTCTCATCAATGTTTCTCTTTCTCTCTCCCTCTCCCTTCCTCTCTAAAAAAAGTAAAAATATTTTTAAAAATATTGTATGTTCATTGCAAGATTAAAATAAAAAATTACCATTCAACAGTTTAAGTGTGTCCTTTTAAACCCATTTATGCATAAATATATAGATTTCTTTTAAATAACCAAGGCCATGCTATATATACTGTCTCACATTGTATTATTACACTAAATATATAAACGGCAGCTTTTCCATGAAAAAGTATAGATTGACTACACCCTTAATGGCTGTATGATACTCCATTATTCGGTTATACTATCATTCCACAAATTTTCTATAGAGAAAAATTAGGTTGTTTCTAATGTTTTGCTTTTATGCACAATATTATAATGAACATTTGGGCAATTATTTCATTCAGACAATTGACAAAACGTTGGATTGTTGAGCCAAGGTTTTGTTCCCTATCCAATTGAGCATCCAAAATTCTTTATCATTTTACACCCTTGTCAAAGAAGTATAAGAAGCTGGTTTCTTGTTCTTCTAGCCCAGGGATTAGCAAAGTGTAGCCCATAGGCTAAATTCAGCCCAAACCGGCTTTTGTAAATCAGGTTTTATAGGAACACAGCCACGCTCTGTAGTCTATGGCTGCTTTTGCTTTGCAATGGCAGATTGAGCCACTGTTCCAAAGACCATGTGGCCTGCAGAGCTGAAAATAATTTTACTATCACCTTTTACAGAAAAATGGCTAGGCCAATCTAGTCATCATCATCTCTGCCCACTGGATAGGTAGAAAGGGTCTTGTTGATGCTTAAATTTGCATTTCTTGAGGAGAGAGCTTTACTATCAGCAGAAGGTGCTGCACACAATTGCGAGGTTTGTGCCCTGCACACAGACACGCTGTTCAAGGGCTGAGCAAAAGCCACCCAGGCTCTTCTCACCATGTACCTGCAGGGCTGCATGCTGCCAGCAGGGGGCACATTGTTCAAAAGGTGAGGTCTGAGCTAGTGCGTGGCTGGAGACAGTATTTCCCTTTTGATATCAAGGCCAGAGTTTGGGTTTGAGGATTTAGAATCAGGAGTTTAGACTAAAGTTGGGCATTGGGTCAATGATTTAGGGATATACCTACATGATATATGAGTCTTTCTATTCATCTTTGAGTTAGCTTTGGAGTTAGTACTAGGATTCGGGTTAACAGTCTGAAATTCAGACTCAGGTGGAAGCTGGGATTCAGAGTGTAAGGAGAGGGTTAGGGGTGGGGAAGGTGGGTCACAGTGCTGGTTAAGTTCAAGGATAGAAAACGTGAAGGAACTGAAAGGGTTGGCTCCTTAGCCCACCCAGTGGTGTCTACAAAAGAGGAAATGACGGAAGTCCAGACATGGGTGAAACCCACCTCTCCTGACCCCCACCCACCTTCCTGCCCTTGCTCACCATCTGCGCCCACCACTGCCCTGATCAGGGTGAGGGTTCCCACGCGGATGGCCTCCTTGCTTATCTCCATTTGGCTGAGAAAGAACTTCATCAGCTCCTTAGGGTAGGAGCGAGCTGCGGGGGGAAGGGCAGTTTGAGTCCCTCCCACTGAGTCAGAGCAGTGGGGGAGGCAGCCCCAGCTGTGCTCAGAGCCTCACCGAGGGCTATGAAGCAGTGTTCGATCTCCCTCACGTTCTGGCTGCTGTACTGCTGCTGGACGGGGGCCTTGGTGCACACCTAGGAAGGGGCCATGCAGGGAGGGTGGGTGAGATCACAGCCGAGCAGTGGAATGTAGGTGCAGAGGAGAAAGACAAAGCCTCCGCCACCCTTTTGACCCGGTCGGCCACTTGCCGCAGCCCGCGTCCTACAGGTCCACCCTGAGAATGCCATGCCCAGCGCTTTTGCCAGCCTCACCTGGGTGTGCAGTTCTGTGAAAATAGTGTGTAGATGCATTTGGGGGACGGGGGTGCTGGTGATGACCGACACTTCTAGGATCTGCCTCAAGACCTGCAACAGATGGCCAAATGGTGGCAGATGACCTTCTACCAACTCATGGTCACAGTCTAGACCAGGGGTGGGCAAACTTTTTGACTCGAGGGCCACAATGGGTCTTAAACTGGACCGGAGGGCCGGAACAAAAGCATGGGATGGAGTGTTTGTGTAAACTAATATAAATTCCAAAGTAAACATCATTACATAAAAGGGTACGGTCTTTTTTTTTTTTTTTTTTAGTTTTATTCATTTCAAACCGGGCCGGATCCGGCCCGCAGGCCGCAGTTTGCCCACGGCTGGTCTAGACCCTTGATGATGAGGTGATCCTGGATTTAGGGTGGGCCTTAAATCCAATGACTGGTGTCCTTATAAGAAGAGAAGACACAGAGACAGGGACTGGGAAGAAGGCCACGTGAAAATGAAGGACAAGTTAGGAATGATGCTGCCTCAAGCCTAGCAATACCTGGACACCAGACGCTGGGAAAGGCAAGCAAGGGTTCTCCCCCAGAGCCTTCAGAGGGAATGCAGCCCTGCCCCTACCTTGATTTTAGACTTCTGGTCCTCAGAACCTTGAGAGAATAAACTTCTGTTGATTTAAGCCACCCATCTTGTGGTTCTTTGTTATAGCAGCCGCAGGAAACTACACAAAGGTCACAGCCTCGCCGTGGCCTCTGAAACCCTTTGGGATCTTGTCCCTTCCCCCTAAAAGTACCAGGCCCCATGGCTCCTCATAGGGCACAGACCCTTTAGGGCACAGATGTTGGGTCTGCTGTCAATCATCCAAATATCAGACATCCCACCTTCCATCCAGATGGCACCTCTTCTCCCCTCCCCCACACCCTCCCCTCCCTTCCTCTGGTACACTTGGGGACCAGGCCTCCAGCCCAGGCGAGTTCCTGCACAGCCCGCACCTGCGTGATGAAGAGGGCCTCCAGGCTGCCCTGGTACTCTGCCAGCAGCAGGGGGAGGTAGTCGTACACCTCCTCCCGCAGGTCATCGTTGGGCAGGAGCAGGTTCAGCATGGGCCTCAGGGACTTGATGACCCCCAGCTTCACCTACCACAGGAGGGGAATCTCAGGATTCCTTGGCCCAGGGCCCCCAGCAAGGACCAGTCATGTCAGCCCTGTCCACAGAGTCAAGAAGGTGTGACAGAGGGGACCTTGGAAGTAGAGTTGAGTCCTTGCCCAGGGCCCCACAGGTGAGCAGTGAGACCAGGATGTCCCCATGAGTCCTGGCTCTCTCACTTAGGTGGCCTTGTACAGGTACTTATTCACTCTGTGTCTCTTTCCTCATTCGTAAAACAGTCCTACGCCATAAAGTTGGCACGGAAATAGCTCCCATAGGTAAACCACATGGAGAGCTCCCACTTGCACATAACACGACCCCCATATAGAAGCTCCCAGGGCTTTGTCAAGCCGGCCTCCTGGGGCACCAGTGCCCGGGCATTCAGGGGCATGACCTCCTAGCTCTGCCATTAATTAGGTCTCTATCTCTCTGGGGTCCTGGGAATAAGGCTAGCCCCAGCGGTGTCTCAGCTCTCCCAGCCCCACAGGCTAGGGAGCCATTACCTGGGCGAAGGCAGGCCCCCCTGAGAAGGGCTCATCTCACCTCTGGGTTGTAGCTCCTCAGCCACACGGTCACGAAATAGCGATACATGGGGAACAGCTTTATAGCAAACTGCTCCTCTGTCATCACAGGGTACACGCTGTCCTCTAGATGCCTCAGGTAGAACTGCACCGTCTCACAAAAGGTCTCCATGGCTACGGTGGGAGAGGGGGAACCCAGAGGGGTAGGAGGCAGGACACAGCCCCATCCACAGAGTCAAAAATATGTGACAGAGGGGACCTTGGAAGTAGGGTTGAGTCCTTCTCCAGGAGGGAGGGAGCGATCACACACTTCCACAGCTAGTAGGTTACTGAGATGGCCAGGGACAGCCCAGAAAAATCCCCTCTGTGTCCCTTCCTCTCTGCCCTCCCAGCCCCTCACCACTCCCTAGTTTTTATCCCATATACCTGTGTATAAAAGAATCCCCCAGGGTTGGGGGGGCGGGCATTAAGCACACAGGCATGTCCAGGCCCTGGCCCTTGAGATTCACATGCAGGGGTCAAGGATGGGGCCTGGACATAACTCCTTACCCACATCCTGGGGACACCAATACAGAGGGAAGCAAACCCAGTTTGCCCTATTTTTCTCAGGGTTCAGGGATTTGGGGACCAAGAAAACATTATGTAAGGAAGACTTGGGCAAGGAGATCGGATGTTAATAGCATCAAAGACCTGCCCTAGTCAGGCCCAACACGGAGACATTTCCCCTGGTCTCCACCCTGTGAGTCCCATCCCCTTCACTGGTCTGAGAAGCTTAACTACAGAGCAAGCTACGCCGAGTCACAGGGACAGCTTCCTCCTCTAAGCCACCTGCCCCCCTGGAGAGCCAATCAGAGGCCACACCAAGTAGTAGATTGAACAAATGTTTGGGAATAAATGAACAAACAGCCTCTGGTTCAACAACCCACACACACACACACTTCTTACCCCACTTTCCCCTCCAGCACCCTGACTGGGCCAGACCTTCAGGCCCATGGGGGACACGTACCACCACAGATCACCTGGCGCATCTTGGCTTCGTTGACGAGTCTCAGCATCGTGAATATGGTTGCCAGGGTGATGCCCATGTAGGGCATGAACTCAAACACTGTCGTGTGGGGGAGGGGTTGAGGAAGCAGGGTCAGCCAGGAGAAGGCGAAGATGACACCTCCACTCTGCCCCCAACCCAATCCCCGGTGCCTGCCGAGCCAAGGAACCCCTTTGTGCCCCTGCTGCCATGGGAAATAGTGTGGAAGTCAAGAGGTGAAGAGCCTGCTGGATGTACGTGAAGGGAAAGGAAGACAGAAAAGGGAGGAGCAACAGAGGGACAGAAGGAAGAGAGAGAGCAGAGACAGAGCCTCGGGAAAGATGGGAGAGGCAGGAAGTGGGAGACAGTGAGCTCTCAGAGCACGTCGGCTTCCTTGGAATGATGTCTGTTCCCTTTGGGTGTCACAGATTTTCTTGGATGGATGAGAAACACAAAGAAAGAGAGTGAGGAAGAGGAACTGAAAGAAGACCAGCAGGCAGAAAAAATGAGGGCAGAGGAAGAATGGAAACAGAGATGGGAAGGCGACAGAGAAAAGAGGTTGTTGGGAGAAAGGGTAACAGGTGACAGGCCCCACTCCGACACCTCTCTGAGCCTAGGCCTTCCACTGTGCTGGGAGCTCCCATCCCCACCAACATGCTTTCTTTAGACCAGGGGTGGGCAAACTTTTTGACTCGAGGGCCACAATGGGTTCTTAAACTGGACCGGAGGGCCGGAACAAAAGCATGGATGGAGTGTTTGTGTGAACTAATATAAATTCAAAGTAAACATCATTACATAAAAGGGTACGGTCTTTTTTTTTTTTAGTTTTATTCATTTCAAACGGCCGGATCCGGCCCGTGGGCCGTAGTTTGCCCACGGCTGCTTTAGACTTTCCTTCCCTGGCTGGGCCCTTCCTCCTATTCATCCATCTGTCCCTCTGTCCTGGTTCTCTGGCCTCAGCAGGCAAGAGGCCTAGGCCCTCCCTTGCCCCTGAACCCCTCCAGCTGTCATCTCACAGCAAGTGATCGATCCTCTTTGTCTTCACCCCTCCCACCTCCCTCCAGCCTGCCCAGGCTCCATCCCCAGCACACCATGAAACTCTTCTTGGCCAAGCAGCCTTCTCCAGCCTCATCTTACTGGATCCTTCAGCAAGATGGGACATAACCGGCCCCTGGGCCCTTGCTGAATCACTGTCCTCTTTGCAAGGCCCACTACACTGCACTGTCCTCACCTTCCTCCCCATTCTTACGATCCCTCCTAAGCCTTTTTAATGCTGAGGCTTCTCTCTTCTCTTCTCTCTCTACTTTCATGCTCTTGGGGTCAGTGGCTTTGAACACCACCTATACTCTGAGGTCCCTTGGTAGGAAGCTGAGCCCAGATCTGCCCTCTGAACTCAGCATCCACACATCAGCTCCCCACATGACCTCTCCACTTGGACATCTCACAAGGAATGCAAACTCCATACATACAAATGAGGTTCTTTCTGAGCCCCCAAGTGTTCTCTTTCTCCATGTTTCCCATCTCAGGACATTAACAACCACATACCCTATTGCTCAAACCTGAAATGTGGGAGTCATTCTTGCTTCCTCTTCGCCTCCTACACACAACTTGTAGTTTCATGCCCAAGACCCATCCATACTTTCCATCTGTTCACTGCTCACCAAATGCACTCCAACCCAAGCCACCATCACCACACCTTCACACATCTTCCATCTCCATCCACACAACAGCTAAGTTTCATCAGGCAATTCTGCAGCCTTGAAATCCCTCAGTAGCTTTCTAGTGCCCTCAAATACAATCCAGACTCTTTACCCACTCAGCCTGCCTAACTTTCCAACCTCATCTTACAGCATATCCCCTGGCTCTCTAACTCCAGACACACTGACCTCTCAGCTCTTCAGAGAAGCCAAGCTTTTTTCCTGCCTCAGGACCTTTGCACATGATGTTCTCTTAGTGCATCCCGTTCTTCGCACAGGTATCATCATCTCATCCTTTAGGTCACAGCTGAAATATAACTGCCTCAATGAGGACCCTACAGAGATGAAGTCCTCTCCCTCATCCTGATTTCAAGCAACCACCTGGCTGTCCTCTTCACACCCTCATCTCTTATTATGGTCACTTATTTTCTTGTTTACTTGTTTATGGTCCTTTATGAGGGTAGAGACTGTGCATATTTTATTCCCTGTTGTGGCCCAGCACCCACCGCAATGCCTGCATGGATTCAGTACCTCTTTTGTGGAATGAAGGGAAAGGGAATGAGAGAGAAGAGAAATAAAATGAGAGAGAGAGATGAGAAGACAGAGAAGAACAGAGCCTCAGAGGAAGAGAAGAGAGGTTTGGAGGAGATGGAAAGATGGAGAAATACAGACCAATATGTGAGGCAGAGACACACAGAAAGAATCTTGACAGCTGAGAGATCCAGGGAGATGAAAAGAAGGAATTCCAGAAAAAGAGAAGAAAAGAGAGAGATGGAGGGGGCGGGGGGTGCAGAGACTAGGAGGAAGCGCGGGGCCAGCCCGAAGGGGCCAGGAACTGGGCTAAGGGTCCCCACACCCTACCATTGCCGTTGGCCAGCTTCGCCAGGGTGATGATGACAAACTCGTCTGTGAGGTCGAGGGGCTTGAGACGGTGCTGCATCTCATACATGACCACACTGAAGTGGTTCCGGGACAAAGCTACCAGGGTGTCACTGGCCACCTCTGCCTTCATGTAACCCTCCACCTGAGGGGACCGGAGAGGGACATGTGGTGTGACCACCAGCTGGATCCTCATAAAACCCTCCAGTCCCACGCCTTCTCCAGCCCCGCTGGGCCCCCTTGGGCTCAGCCTGTTCTTGCCCTAGGAGGTGGTTGGACAAGGGCCTTGGTTGTCACAGGCCATGCCCACCAACAGCCCCACCCTAGGTTGGTGGAGACACAGGATACCAATGAAGCCAGAGTTCCACTACCTCCAGGATCTCCCGCATCTCCTTGGAGGCAATGGTCACCAGCCTGTGGACACACTGCTCCTCCAGCTCCCCCTCCTGCTGAATGATCTCCTGCAGGATGTTGTAGATGTTGACTTTCCGCTGGGTGGATATCTGGGGAACAAGCATGGTGGGCGGGAAGTTCCCAAGCCTCAGACCCCTACTCCTCCATCTTCCATCGCCTGCCCTTCCCTCCTCCATCAAACTCCTCCAACTGGCCTCATTAGTGTGGCCTGCAAATGGTTCCCTCTTCCCTGTGTTCAGTCTGACATGCTCAGCAAGGCAGGTGTCACAGTCAGCATGCCAGGTCCTGAAGACTTGGCACTGGCCCAACTGAGAGTCCAAGAAGTTGGGTTTGCTCTGCCCTTTGCCCTAGTGAGGGGGCGCTCCAGACCAGGGAATGTTCCTCTGTCTCTATTTCAATTCCTAGATAGCACTTATCACTGTTATAAATTATAGGATTGCACGAAGAGGTTATAATCCAGACCACACCCGGGGAGCTGGATTTGAGAATGACTCTCATTTATTCAGGTACGACGAGCCACGCTCAAGAAATGAGGGATGACTCTGTATGTGGGCCATTGGCTGCAAAGCCCTCTGGGAAGACGGCTTCCTCCCCGTCAGTAAGAAGATCACTTTCCAACAGTCTGGACATCTCAGCATATTTGGGGACCTCAAGAGAGAGGAATTCACCCAAATTGATATGTTCTGCTCGTGAAATCCAATACAGAGAGTGTTGGTCTTGTTTTCCTAGTCTTGGTTTAGTGAGTCAGAGAGGCTAGTAAAACACCAACCAGAGAGTCCTTGTGGCCATTGCTGGTCAGTACCACAAGGCTCAAGATCAGGGATTCACAACTGGTCCTTTCTTTTTTGTTGTTGCTTCCTAAGGAGTCTTCTTAGACATTTCTTCCCTAATCGGCCCTCATGAAACCTTAATACCACACATATAGTATGTATCTGTTTATGATCTGTTTATGTATCTGTGCTTTATACATAAAAAAGTAAGATTTTTTCTGCTCCCCTCCAAGAACCAGTTTTACCCATTTGGGGGCAGTATTGCACCCCATTTGTTGAGAATAACTGCTCTGGGTTTTCAAAATGAACTCTAGAAGGCCTACATGCATAATTGGCACTCTTAATGAACCCACATAAATGGCCAGGCAAATTGTAATAAGAACAGTCTTCCCTGCGATTGAGATTAATCCCTGGAGAATATTTATGAGCACAAGAGAAAAACTGTTCAAAACTTGGAAACTGGCATAAAACAGGCACTCAGTGGCCTTCCAGTGTGTGGTGCTGCCTGCCAGCCACTTGGGGGTTCTCAGTGCCTTTATCTTGGACTGTCTAGGCCAGCGGTTCTCAACCTGTGGGTCGCGACCCTTTTGGGGGTCGAACGACCCTTTCACAGGGGTCGCCTAAGACCATCGGAAAACACATATATAATTACATATTGTTTTGTGATTAATCACTATGCTTTAATTATGTTCAATTTATAACAATGAAAATACATCCTGCATATCAGATATTTACATTACGATTCATAACAGTAGCAAAATTACAGTTATGAAGTAGCAACAAAAATAATTTTATGGTTGGGGGTCACCACAACATGAGGAACTGTATTAAAGGGTCGAGGCATTAGGAAGGTTGAGAACCACTGCTCTAGAGCAGTGGTCGGCAAACTCATTAGTCAACAGAGCCAAATATCAACAGTACAACGATTGAAATTTCTTTTGAGAGCCAAATTTTTTAAACTTAAACTATATAGGTAGGTACATTGTTATTAACTTAATTGGGGTACTCCTAAGGCTTAGGAAGAGCCACATTCAAGGGGCCAAAGAGCCGCATGTGGCTTGCAAGCCGCAGTTTGCCGACCACGGGTCTAGGCAATGGTATGGCTCCATGGGGATAGAAGCTAACTGGCCCAGCATCGCTGCACCCTGGGTCTGCTATGTCTTTGCTCTCCCATATCCACCAGCTTTGCTCCTGCTCTAGAATGATGGATCCCAACCCCACTGTGTCAGAATATGGAAGAGCTTTTAAAAATTGACATAGCCACAGTTTCCACTAGGTCCTCAAGAAACTAGAACTTCACAGTCCAGCCCATTTCCATACCCTGGCACCTAGCCCTGCACCTTTGACAGTCAGTACTTGTGTGCTGAGTGGTAGATGGACACACGAGCAGCCACTATGGCTGGGCTCAGAGGAGCAGCTGAGGGCGCAGGAGGCCCTACCTCTGGCACCTGTAGGCAGCGGATGAGAGCGTTCATCACCATACAGGGCTTGGCGGTGGCCTTCTCCGTGATTATCACCGAGGCCAGTGTCTTCCGCATGTCAGGACCTGCCCCAGCAGCATCCATCTTTGATTCGCTGTCTATGATGTTGAGGAGGTTTGTGACTTGTTGGAAAGTGCCTGAGACAGAGATGGCACATGTTTGGTGCTAAGGTGACCATTACAGAAGGTGCTCCCTGTGCCCCAGCCTCCCCGACACCTGCACAGCCTTAGCTGCATCTGTGGTGTGACTGGGCAGGGACCTTCCTGTCCACCGAGTGGATGGAGATACTTAAACCTCAGCTAGGACTTGCCCTCAAGGAGTTAGTGGCCAAGATCAGACAGGAGTGCAAGGATGTGGGTGACTTTCTTACCACCATCATCTGGTTCCAGAGGTTCCAGGTCCTCTGTTTCTTCTGACAGGTCCTCGTTTGAGTCTACTGCTGATTCTGCCATCTCTTTCTCAGGCTCTTTTGACATAAACAAGATTTTTAAAATAGTTGGTGCATTGACACAGTCTAAGATGACCTCCAATGAGTCACACCTTGTATAATCCCTTCCCTTTGAGGGTGGGCAGACTCCAGGATTTGTTTCTAAACAATAGAGTCTGACAAAAGTGATGGGAAGCCACTCTCATAATCACATTATATCATATCAGTCTTAGCAGATTGGAGAAAGAAATTCTTCTGCCAACCTTGAAGGTTAACAGCCATGATGTGAACTGCCGATACAGGTAGCCATGTGGCAAGGAATCGAGAGCCTCAGTCCTACAACCACAAGGACCTGGATTCTGCTAGCAACCACATGAGCTTGTAGAGCATGCAGTCATCTGACACCTTGAGTGCAGCCTGTGAGATCCCGGAGCAAAGGACTTGGCTAAGATATGCCCAGACTTTGACCCACAGAAACTACGAAATAATAAATGGGTGTTGTTTTAAGCCACTAAGTTTATGATAATACATTACACAGCAATAAATAAGTAATACACTTGATTAAGCAGACCTTCCTCTCTGTTTTCTAGGCACTGAAAATGAAAGATGAATTAGAAATCTACCTCGGCAAGTTTCACAGTTCTTTCAAAGGCTATCACATCGGCAGCTTCTTAAGGGTTGACAAACACCAACACAGATGTCAAGATGGAAGATTCAAAACTCCCAGGTCCTTTCTCCTCCTGTTCCCAAGTTCCTCAGTCTCAAACTCCACCCCAAGGCCCTTCACCATCCCGTGCCCTTTCCTCTAGGGAATCCTTTAAAGAGCTACTCTGGGACCTAAATACTGACCTTTTCTCCAAACTCTCTCCAAGATGGAACAAAAATACAACACAAGAAGCAGCTCTGTTCTTTGCCTAATATACATCAATGGTGACTCGGACAATGGCAGGATCAGTTGTCAAAACGGGAGACAGTTGGGCTCCTCAGGGGTAACACAGATGAGGACCAGGTCTCCTGGCGGGTGGAGGTCTTCATTAGAATCATCACCGTTAGGTGCCAGACCCTTGGAACTTTGAGCTCCAACTGCCTCCCTGAGTCTCTGTCAACTGAGGACTTTGAAGAGTGCACAGATCCTGTGAGGAAAACCCCACATCATGCTGTTCAAACATTGCTTGAACATTACCCACATGTCTGGTGAAGTACGGTGGCCTGTTTGGGAGAGGGAAATGGTGAGAGGGAGGTGCTTCACAGCCTGGGGATACTGTCATAGAGCCCCAGGGTGGAGAGGTGTGGTCTGGGCAGATGGAGGGGAGGAGAGTGACAGAAAGTCCTGGGAAGAGGACTCCTCCCTGAGGATTGGGTGTCTTGCAGGATGAGGAAGGGGGTTTCCACTGGCGGAATACTTAGAAGATAAAGAACCTCAAGGAAGGCAGGCACCTTGTGTCCTTAAACCAAAAGTGGGGCCCAAAGGATTTCCCTGCCACTTGCAGCTGTGAGAGAGTCCAGATCACCAGTTTGAGCAATGAAATATTGGCCTCAGAAGCCTTTCATGCATTACAGGGCAACAGAACAAGACTCACAGCCACCTGGGCCTTGGTGCTCAGTCAAAATTACACTCAATGTTTGCCTGCCCTGCCAAGAGGGAGTGAGTTCCTCTGCCTCTGCTTGGACACCTCTGATACCAGGAAGCTCATTACCCTCATTACCCCATTTCTACTTCATTGACTTTGGGTGGTTAGAAGATGAGCTTACTCGTATAGTGCCAAGCACATCTTCCCATAAAAAGTATGCATTGTTCCTTGGTCTGCCCTTCGGAACAATGTTGACTGATATGAAATAGACACAAGGAGACAATTATCACAAGCCCCATCTTTCACAGACCTTTCTGTCCTACCTCCTCCCACTCCCCTCTAAGCCTTCTTTTCTCTTCCATCGATTACTCTACGTGACATGGTTGCAATTCCACAGCAGTTAAGCGGGGCTCCCCATTCTGTGATGGATACAGAGGTAGATAGGACACACCTTTGTCTTCTGAGGGCCTAAGATGCAACACATAAGATGTCATGAATTTAGAGCTGAAAGTGAATGTATCAGCCACTGCTGTGTAACAAGCCTCTTCAAAACCACTTATTAGTGTTTGCAAGTCAATGGGTGGTGAGCTGGGTGGTTCTGTTGATCTGCGCCTTGTCCAGCCAAGCACAACTGAAGTCACTCATACATCTGCAGTAGCCAGTGGGTTAAGTGAAGGCTGGCTGGTCTAGGATGGCCTCACACACAGGGATCTTGCAGTTGGCTAGCTATTGGCTGAAGTGACTAGGATGATTGGGATAGTTGTGTCTCATAGCAGCTAGGTGGGCTTCCAAGAGAGTGAGCAGAAACATGAAGGCCTCTTGAAGCCTAGACTTAGAATTGGCACCATCACCTCTGCCATATTCTATTAGTCAATGCAGGTCACAGGCCAGCCCAGATGCAAGGGCTAGGGCAGTGGTCGGCAAACTGCAGCTCGCGAGCCGCAGTTTGCCAACCACTGGGCTAGGGTAATAGATCTCTCCTCTTAACCAGAAGAGCTGCAAAGCTACATTGTGAAGGACATGGCTAGTGGGAGTGGTGAATATGACCATTTTTTTCTTATACACATGGTGAGTGTGTAAGTACAGAAAAAAAATGAGATGCCCCTGAAAACATTATTTAGAGAGAACACAAAGACAATGAGATCAAGGAGAAAGACGTGGACTCTGCTTGGTTTTCCAAAGTGAAAACACTTTTTATTTCTCAGATCGTGACAGGAATATTTGACTCACATGCAATCCATTCATAAAATCAGCCACTCTTGTGCTTTCACTCTGCAGAGCTTCCCACCTCCATTTCTAAGGGAACTAACTTGAAAATAAGAAAACATTGTAGAAACCTGTGAGCTTAAAGGTATGAAAAGGGCCAAGGCAAGAAGTGGGGGAAATGTGAGTGTGTAGTGGACGCATTTGGTGGCACCTCTCCAGAGACAAGTTTCCCTCTTCTTTGACCCTTTGGGTCACAGTTATGGGCTCCTGGTGGTCATGGTTTCCCTCTGTAATCCTCCCAACACTCCTGATTAGAAAAGGAGAGGACACCTGGTCTAGCTGGACTAATCAGATTCTTCCTCCCAGGAATTCAGAACTCTGGGCAAGACAGAACCCAGTCAGTGTCCTATAGGATCTTGGGGTTGAGAAATCAGGAACTGGCCCTCAGGGCCGGTGAGCAATAAGTGACTCTAGAAGGGGCAGGACGTTGCACCCAGAATGAAACGGATTTCACGGGCTTACCACAGCTCTTGCCCTGATTTCAAAACCCACAGGCAGGGCTGTCAGGGTCGCATGGCACTCCAGTGTGAGATGCCCCCATGGTGGGGACAAAGGGAGGTCCCTAGCCTCAGAGACCTCCATGGCTGTCTGAAAGGGGGGGTGGCATCCCCCTTCTTGCAGCCCTCCCCGCTGGGTAGGAGGCAGCCTGTGAGCAGAAGGTGATCTGAGGCTGTGGGTGTTAGAGACTTACCCAAACTTCCAGATATTGGGAATTCCACCCCTCTGCATGAGGAGCAAAGCAGCCAGGCCAATGTGGCTAAGTGCTCAGGTGAACATAAGGGTGGGGACTCCAGAACAAGGGGGAAGGCCCAGGTGACCAGCCAGAAGTTGTCAAGTGAATAAGGGCCAGATGAACTGCCGGAAGTGGTCACATGAACAAGGGTGTGGGGCTAGGTGAACAGCTGGAAGTGATCACGTGAACGAGGGGGTGGGGCCAGGTCAAGTGATCACGTGAACGAGGGGGTGGGGACAGGTCAACAGCCGGAAGTGGTCAAGTGGTTAGGGCGGCAGGGCCACATCACCTTCCTTCGGTCCAGACCGTGGATGACAGCAAGAGGTCCCTTTCCTCAGAGCAAGGCATACCCTGCTAATGAAGCAGAAAGCTGGCCCTCAGGGCCCGGCCACCAGTAAGTGACTCTGGAGGGGGCAGGACAGTGCTCCCAGAATGGAACGGGTTTTCAGGGGCTTAACACAGCTCTTGCCCTGATTTCAAAGCCCACAGGCAGGGCTGTCAGGGTCGCAGGACACTCCAGTGTGAGATGCCCACATGGTGGGGATGATGGGGGGTCCCTACCCTCATAGACCCCAATGGCTGTCTTAAGGGGGGTTGTTGAGGGTCACAAGCGGATGCAAAGGCCCCACTTTCCTGTCATCCAGACTCTGGATGGCAGCAAGAAGGTCCCTGTCCTCACGGAAGGGCATCCCTGTGAATGAGGTGGGGAGAGGGGAGCAGAATAGGACAAGAGAATGGGGAAGAGCAAAGCTGTCACTCAGAGCATGTAAGGACACAAGAAGACAAGAGAGGCTCCAATCATCCCAGCCCTTTTGTACGCTTGGCCATGAGCCTGAGTCCCTAGGAACCCCATCTCCTTACAAAAAGACCCCCTACTTGCTTAAGGTGTCTAGAGTTGGGTTCTCTTACTTGTGGGACTCTCAACACGAAGGTGCAGAGGAGCCCGTGAGAAGTCAGAGCAGCTCAGGGTCCCTGAGAGAGAAGAGGGGGCATGGAACATGGGCAGCAAGGCCAGGATATGGTCACTGGGTGGATGGGAAGTGCCTAGAAAGAGGGTGGACCCAATGCAAGAGTCACCGCAGGGTCTAAAAATGTGGGGAGGCAGCTGGTGTGAAGAGCTTGTGTTCCAAAAGCAGCCTGGGGAAGAGCAAATGAGGCAGAGTCAGGAGAAGTCCTAGCTATCCACGTGACACCCCGCTCCAACTTGAAGCATGTATGTTTAAAACGTTTGCAAATAACACAAAGCAACAAGCGGAGGTGTGAGAAAAAAAATTAAAGGCACAAATAATTAAGTGGAGAAAATACTTCCAGTGCATGGCAGAGAATATTCTCACTCGGGCAGTAAGCTCTCTTAGCCAACCCTCAGGGCAATACACCCCAGAGGGAAACAGGCAAAGGAATAAAACAGAAATACAGATGGCTCATAAGCTTGTAAAAAATTCAACTTTTAATAGT